CCGGCAGGTCCTCCAGCTCGGGACACGGCAGGCGGCGCGGGGGGGAGTGAGGACAGCTGGGGATCCCCCTGCCGGTGCTGCGGCTTCGGGGCGCGGAGCTGGGCAGCCGAGGCACCTGCAGGACGCTACGAGAACGCGTTTCCCGAGCGCGCTGGTGTTGCCGTTGTTGGTAGCGTGAGCACCGCTTTGCCTTACTCTGCTGTGTTTGTACGGTCTGTCACTGCCTGCGGGGCCGGGTTCTCGGTGGGTTCGGCCGAAGGAAAAGGTGGCGGCGTCCCTTGCCGTCGCGCTTTCTTTGTGCTTGTACGTAGATGGGTTCAGTTTTTTGTACCGTTTTGCATCTTTCTGTTCAAAGCTGTGTCGATATGAAACCTTGCCCTTAACATCTGCGAAATGGAATGTTTCCAGCCACAGAATTTGAATGTTGTCACACCCTGTGAATATTTTCAGGGTATGGTCGTTTACCCACGGGAGTGGTCATGGGAGTGTCCCTCCTGAAAACCCAGCTGACTTCAGATCGCTTCCACGCTGATCTGACATCCGAGTTGTAACTGGTTGTGAATTCTCTGCAGAACGATTTCGCTTCCCACTCGTACCGCAGAAGCACGTGGAGAGAGGGCTTTCGTGTTTTGTCTCATTGCTGATAAAACAGCTCCAATTGTAAATAAATCCAAACTGTGTTGTCATGAGGAATGGAAATGTCAAGTTTCAGAAAATGCTGTTTTTCGAGTGTCATCACTAGGTATGTCATCTCTGGCGATGGACTTGTTGGGTGAAGCTCGTTTACTTAATTATCTGTTACCTGTTCTCTGCATATTAAGATTTTATGCAGCGAAAGAAAATGTTTTTGTTCAACAATACCGTTTAAACTGTCACTAAAATACTGCTTTGTGCCTTCTGTTGTTTTCTGACCGGTTCTAGAACCCACTGTGTAAAGCGGGGGAAAAGACGAAATCATCTAATACTTGTCTTTTAACTTTCAGCTTTGTGTTATTCTTGGAAAGTTTCGCACCACTTGTGAATTCCTTGAACCTTGGCATTGCGAGCCCACTTCTGTTGGGCCCTCCTCCTTTACAGCTCGCGCAGATTAAGACACAGCTGGCTCTGCAGCAGTTGACCTCGGTTGCTACCACCGGTTCTGCACCTCCTTATGCTTGGCTAAACCAGGCGTTTCTGAAAAGCGCGATGTTTAGCCCCAGAGGAACTTTACCTCCGAGGCCGAGGGGCCCTAATCCATCCGGCACGAAGCCTCCGGGATCTTGCAGGGGAGGAGGTGCGGGCGGTCCGCCGAGAAAGCCTGCGCCTGGGACGCCTCAAGGAACGCCGCAGAGGTGTTCGGGACCTGAAACCTTGCAGTGGACGGGTTCGCAGAGGATAAACGTGCGGGTCACTCTGCACAGGCCTGATCCGAGGCAGGTCAAAGGGAAGGCGAACCTGCACCAGGAGCAGAAGGTTGAGCCGCGCACGAGTCACTGGGATAGCAGCCCGTGCTCAGCTGGGCCAGCGGGGCAGAAGCCGTCCTCCTCGGCACGGATCTCGGAGCAGAACTCCAATGCCCAGAACCGCTACACGCCAGAAAGCGCTTCCAGTATTTTAGCGAGTTTTGGGCTGTCCAATGAAGATTTGGAGGAACTCAGTCGCTATCCAGACGATCAGTTAACGCCTGAAAACATGCCGCTGATCCTGAGAGAGATACGGATCCGTAAGATGGGTCATTCCGTGGCTGGGTTGCACGCTCAGAGCCGGGGAGAAGACACGATGGGTGGTGCGAGCGGCGCAGCAGTCAAGAGTAAAGTCATCGATTATGGGCACGCGAGCAAATACGGTTACACTGAAGACCCTCTTGAAGTGCGTGCGTATAATCCCAAAGTGCTGACCGAAGAGCCTCTGGAAGCACGCGTCTACAACCCCGAAGCACCCAGCGGGGAGAACAGGGAAGACTTCCAGCGAGAGCAGAACGTCTCAATGGGTGTCCCACCAGCCGGCGTGCCCTGCAATCCAGTGTTTCCGGTCGAAGAGATGATGAAACCGACGGGGTTCCAGAACGATTCCTCCAACGCTCAGGCGTTTTTCCCACCTGAGGCCACGGGGAAGGTGTCCGGCTTGTGTGCAGCACCCGCTGCCCTCCCCGTGGGGAAGCCCGTATCCCAGCCGGCGATGCCGCCCGTCATGCCGCCCATGATGCCGCCGATGATGCCGCCCTTGGCACAGCCCTTGATGCCGCCCATCATGCTGCCCGTGGTCCAGCAGCCTGTCGCCCAGCACGTCATGCCACCCATCACCCACCCGCCCTTCTCGCCTGGGCTCCTTGCGGCGATAAGCCATCACGAAAGAGGTCATCGCGAAGCCGGGCCAAGCCCGCCCAACGCCCAGAGCGGCTCGGGAGCAGCGGGGCAGAAGCCCTTCCAGACGCAGGCGGAGGGGCCGATTAAATCTCCTTTTGGTGTCGTGAAAGCGTCCTGGCTTCCCGCGTTCCTGCAGCCCGATCCCCAGAAGATAAAAAGGTTGCCCACTCCGTCGATGATGAACGACTACTATGCTACGTCTCCGAGAATATTTCCGCATATGTGTTCTCTGTGTAACATTGAATGCACTTACATGAAGGTGAGTGTCTTTCAAAGATTATTGCATAAACCTCTGCTCGGCATCTTACCTGCTGCGCTGTTTTATAAACTTAATTTTTGACCGTGCGTTAAGTGACTTGTGATGCTGTTCGCCAGCGTGGGGGCTTCCGTGCAGATGTGGAAATGCTGGAAGCGGTGCTAGTGAATTCCTGTACCTGCTGCGCAGCGAGTTCTGTTCCAAATTCCATCTCAAAGTTGCCGTGCACCTTGATATTTATTTATTTTTTTAATGTTAAAAGTGATTTCTCTCTTCTGCAATGGGTTTCAAATGACAAAACGAACCCTTTATCGGTGGAGTAAAATGCTGGCGTCATCTGGGTGACTGAAATGTGTGCCGAAACGCGGTGCCGAGCCGCGGCAGGGTGGGCGAGACGTTCGTGTGTTCAGCCCCCTGCCTGCAAAGTCAGCGTTGAGCCAAAGCAGCCCATTTATCTGCAAAAATTTAATCTTCCAAGCGTGGTCTGTGTGGTGTTGGCTGTTCCGGAGAGCGAGGGCTACCACAGAGCCGGCGGCTCTGAAGCAACAACAGTTTCAGCTCTTGAGGGAGGAAAAGCGGGGAACTGGTGGGTACTGGGAGGGAGAAATCAATCTGAAAGCTGTGGTTTTTCCTGAAAGACCTAGGCTTGGTGTGTCAGAAATACAGGAGAAAGTAATCTAAAAAAAATTAAAGAATTCGTTAGTAGTGTCCTGTGTTTAAATTGTGAGTGGTCTGGGGCGCTTGGTAGCGGTTTGCAGAAACAGGCAGGGTTGCCGGCCCGTGCTGGTGCCGCGTGTGGAGAGCGCTGGGTGAGAGCCGAGACGGCGGCAGCTGCGCTGGGGCTGCAGAGCAAAAACCGATTTTCAGGTGCTTTTGGACTGGAAGCACTGAAGGCCAGGGAGGGCTGCGGCTGCTTGAAAACTTAAAGGGAAGTTGGATGTCAAAAAAAAAATGTGTAAAATTGAACAGGGCGACAGATCTGGGTTGGTGTTAAGAAGTGGACCGAGCACTTCAGATAAGTGTGAGCTGTTTAAATGTGAATTATTCCCTAGCGTGCTTACCGATACTTTCTAAAATGAAACAGCTGTTTTTGCTATAAATACTTACTGACAAACTAACGATGACTTTTTCTGAAGAGGTTAAAGGTTACAACTTCTTGTCCTGACGGCACTGCAGTGTAGCACGTGCTCTCCGGGCATTCTGCTCCGACTGCAGCCGTGC